AGCTCCCCTTGTATCCAATCATTTTATTTGTAGAAAAACATGCATACTCGATAGAAGGGATATTGTGAGGGCGTAGAGAATGGCAGTGATCTTGAATTTCAGAAATAACTTTTGTATATATTTAAAACCACAGTACTTCAAATGTGGAAGTAACGTTTTAATCAGTGACTGAACTCTATTTACGAGTTACTTTGTACCAGACAAAATTGTGCATAGTATAAATGTAAATTGCATTGGAGAAATGACTGCTTATCCATAAATCGTGATGATATGTTCTCCAAAAAATAACACTATATTTTGTAAGAAAAAAGGCATCATTTCAAGTATGCCTTCAGTTCTATTCCTACCAAACTTCAAATAAGCAGCAATTTTAAAGTTTTCGTAATAATTTGATCACCTACTGTATTTTACTGGCGCTGGGAATCGTTTGGAAGATATCCAGAATGATATAAAATATCACAATATTTTTGAGAAAGTGTTTTCACATTTGAAATCATTTTACTCGTGAAACAAAAGTAGTTACGTTATCAGGATTACACGCTTCCTCGAAATTTCAAATTTTGTTATCTGCATGCTTCGTCAAATCCACGTACTAGGTTTATCTAAGGGTAGCCTCTCGGATCGAAACGATCTACAACGGAGTCTTCAAAGGATCACTTTGGCCTTATTAAACTGACTACTTTCAACGATTTAAAACAGTGACCGTCAAGTTCCAATCCCTCGCAAACCAATTTGCGTGTTCCACTTTAGCAGTGCGCCCTACTCCAGAGCTTTCAGAGTTAGTTGCAGTTCAATTTTCAATTCCGTCAGTAGCTGCATTCTCGACCTTAAACTGGTCACATTTACTTCTACTTCACACGTCAAACGTATAACCGAACGGTCGTAGTGAAATCTAAGCAGCTTCTCGCGTCAACTACGATACACATTCGCTTAACCCGTCGTCTCTGCGACAGCCTTTTTTCAGTATGCAGTGTTCTCAGAGCTGACTTCCAAACCCTCAGTTGCATATATTTCACTTTGTCTTTCGAAGAAGAACTTATTCCTTGGGTGTGCAACGTTTGGAATAATTTTATATCAACTTTATTTTTTTTTAATTATCTGAACTTTAAAAAATGCTGTCCTCTTTTATTGTAGCTCTGTTTATTTAGTGTATGTCGATGTAAAAAGAAAACTCCAATTTTTTAAACGCCTCTGAATACTCTATTCCATACATTTTGTTTCATCTTTTTAAGAAGAAATTATCCAATTATCGCGATCGTGAGAAAAACATAACTGATACTAATGCTGCGTCTAAATTGGGCTTAAGGAACTTTATCTCAAGATTCCTGCGCGTCAAACTACAATACAATAGATAAACTATCGTTAGAGACCAAGCACATGCTGTGTGTATCCAAGAATTCCACATCATAACGATTCCAAATCAATAAATCTGAACCTTGAAACTCAAGAACTGTCGAGACCTCTCCTTGCATAATTAGTCTCCTAATATCCAGTTACATAAATAAAACGATTCGTAAATAAACTTCCACTCCAGAGGAGTCGTGGTTGGAAATGGAAAATCGATGTCGGTGAATCCTTTCGTTGCGGAAGGATTGTAGAGTTTTGAAGCACTCAGCCAGCGAGCGGAAACGTCATTTAGCCAAGTCGGGGGTTTTCCTTTAATCAACGCTATATTTATTTCCAGTGATTGACAACCTCGGTCTCGTTTAAGTTGGAAGTCCTCGGTCCGATATCTGCCGAAGTCAGCGAGGAAACGGCTCGCTAACGAAGTCCCCGAGCCAAGGAAATCTACCCTGTAAGTCCGATGGCTCAAGTATTTAACCGCGACTGGCGCTAACTTCGCCGTCGATCGTTTGTCCTAATCGGATAGAAATATTGGGTGTACTGGAGCTGTTCTAAGATCACGTTCGATCGTCCGGCAAGTCCGGCAAGTTGCGCAGTAATTCGCAGTAAATTAGAGACGCAGAGAAACTAATTTATGGGGATCGAAATTCTGCTTGCTAGCAACCTGAATATATGTATATAGGGATGAACATGTACGCCTACATGGTACGAATGTAGAAAATGTACATATAAACCTGCTGATATGTACATAACGCTGATTTATTAGGAACGTTGTTTTCGAGTGCTTTGGCTGACCATGAGTAAAGTCTCTATCGAGAGGAAAGTTACAGTGCAATACGTTCCATGTTATAGATGTTAACTAGACTGTTTCATTCCTAATTATTCGTACGCGTATTCCACTACTTCAATTCAAAGCAATAATATTATTTGCTGCGTTTCCTACACGTTGAATATAGAATCTATTTATATTTGTGTTTATAATTTAAATTATATATTGAAATCGTATCTCACGTGAAATAAACTGGGGGTTATTCGAATAAATCGATGAGACGAACGTTGTATATAAGTTGCAATATGACGTTCTAATTCCATATTCATCGTTCGAATAAAATGTTTGTTACTTCTACTAAACGTAGAAGTTTTTTATCTCTAACTCACGCGCATCGGTCATCAACATCTATGGAACCTCCTCACGATATTAATCTAATGCTCCGACTCACACTGTCACAACAGAGTATTCGAACAGTCAAACACAAGTATTCGGAGTCAATTAGAACTCGTAGAGAACTCAATTAAAACTGAACTGGTACTTGCAGAGAACACAATCAGAACTGAGACAGAACACACGGAGAATTTAATTCGAATTGAATTAAAGTACAGAGAGAACTCGAACAGGGCTTAATTAGAACTCATGGACAACTCACTTGTACTCGATCAGAATTTACAATTCATCTATCGTAAGAACTCTGTACATAGAATCTGTTTAATATTTTGTTCAATTTTACGAGCAAGATCTGTATATGAGCAACATTAAGTTGTTAGAGATATTTATATGTTGAAGATATATATTTATGAAGAATGAAATATTGATATTATTGTATTAATTTATGTTTCTCATATTATATTTTACTCATACCTAGTGACGCCAGTATATTTAACAACAGTGTTACAGAATTAAAAAATGCACATGTAATGAATAATTTCATTTCGCAAGAAGTTAAGAATTAATTAATATCCCAGCAACCAGTGAATGTAAAGTATCAGACACGTCAGACAACGTGAAATTCGATGTCAGTAAATCTCCTTGTCGCGTTCCAAGTACTCTATTCAGTCGTTCTATTCCAAACAGGATTAAACCAGCACAGCCTGAGACAAAGACGTCTTAGGCGTACAGATTGGGCTAAAGTGGCACCAGTTTTCCTTACGTAAGTGAAATACAGTTCCCACTAAACACATCTACTTACTCAAAGTCGGGTTAAATACTTTATACACATCATATTGAAACTTCTGTTTTAACTGAAACTAATCGGTCGAATAAAACATTAAGAAACGAAAACGACGTTAATTTCAGCCCTAGTATGGAGTTTGCAACGCAAACTATTGTTAATACTATTAAAAGGATATCGGTAAGCTGCTTAAATACAATAAAACTATCGAAAATACGTAAGCAGTGATAAAAGAAATCAAGAATATAACAGGGTTTATTTAACGTGTTACAGACAGCTTTCTATAAAAATAATCGTATTAGAGGGAATGCCTTAACAAGATAGAAAGCGTGCGTGCCGAGAAAGTAACTAACCTCTCGCCTTATTTCGTGAGAACTGCACCTCAGCTCCTTTGTAATCCCAGCACGCGAATCGAATTTAAGAAAGCCAATGGCGGGAAGTTCGCGAAGTTGCTGATAAAGTTTCAGTCGGATTAGCGATACACTGCGTGATTATTGCTCGAACAAATCGTTGCAAAAGTATTACCATGCTATTTAATAAGTAATTATTTTTGTGTCACAATTAGATGTCAGCTAACTAGCTCTCCTGTTCGCTGGACCACAGTGCATCTTGTTACGTTTATATCATTCTATAAACAGCGATCTCTGCCAGAAAAATGTTTACGACGTCCATGATCGAAGAGAACACGGTTTTAATGTCAGAGACATCCAGATAGTGATTTCATGAAATCTTAATCCGACGGGTTAGACTTCGGTGTGTAATTTGCAACTGTATAATCTAACATTTGAGTTAGTACTTAGTTTTGCAACCCGATCAGAATTCACGGATCCTATCCAAACTTGTTTTTCTTTAACACACGACCTTCAGAATAAATTTTTTAATTCCTTAGAGAAAATCTCTGTCACCCATACGTGGGTGACGTGGCGATAAACGTGTTAAAAAACAACTTTTGAAGAAAAACCGTACCGTGGGTATCGTAACAATGTAAATTGCCTGAACCTGTGACCAATACAAGAAACGAAAAATAGTAACGTTATTAGCAACCCTCGAGGCGCGTATCAAGATTTCCTCGCAAGTTCGCGTTCGGCTCGGTAAATGGTTCTCCCTCGATCAAAAAAAGGGTCCGACCGCTCGCAGAATGGCTAACCGAGAAGCGCAATGACGATTCCAGCCTACATCGCCCGCATTTGATTCCCCGATCTCGTAAGAAGAGTACGTCGGTAAGTGGAAATAGGGGCATCGGAGAAGAGGAGCCGGTCCGTTTCTCGAGGCGGATTCCGGAAGGGCCGTCAATGGTTTCCTCGCGCCTCGGAAATCCCAGCACACGAGTCGAGTTTAAGAAGGCTGAGGCGAGTCAGCCAGTCAGTCAACCATGCAGTCAGTCAGCCAGTCGTCAACGGCAGCAGTTCGTGAAATCGCAGGATACTGGCACTACGCGTTACTACCCCGTCTGAGGACGCAAGCGCACTTGCCCCCCTTATCGGGTTCGAGAGCAAAAGCAACGGCTGCCGGCGGTAGCGGAGGTACACATCTACAGACCGTGCATAGGAATGGTGGGGAGGGAGAGATGATAAGGGAGAAAGAGAGAGAAAGGAGACGAGCTGCGAGGGTGGAGGGTTGTACGCGACGACGACTCGGGGGTTGGCTAGAGTGAAAGAGAAACGGACAGGCGTGGAGGACAGAGGATCGCGAGGAGGGAGGCGGGTGCAGCTACGAGTCGGGCGCCGCAGTGTTTGTCAGTCCTTCGTATGGACATCACGTCTGACGCGGCTGATAGTCTTAACCGTGCGCAGTGGCATTCGCGTATACGCGTAAGTTTTGGCGGCATCTATCATACCAGGGCCAGCAACGTGCCGTGCATCGAGTCCACCGTCGATGAGCCACCGGACGCGCTTAGGCTCGCTTACGATGCAGACGTCTCGGCCTATCGTCATCTTGGCGAGTCATTCGAGGATTATCCAGCCGCTGGAGATGTGAAAAGATCGCGTTGGAAGCGATGTGGCTTCCGGTGATACTGCTCGCCTTGATGGCGAGCGGTTCCGCGTGTCCAGAATCGTGCGAGTGCCATCAGAGTGCCGTCGAACGAGACTTGCCGGCTCTTGTGCATGTGAAGTGCCGCGGCCGTGTGCCAGAATTGTCGGAATTGTCGGTTAAAACGAAAAGTCTCTCGGTGGACGGGGTCGAGGAGTACGCAGTGATCAGTTTCTTCGACGAACTGGAAGTGACCGATACGCTGAACGATTTCGAGATGATTAGTGCATTGAACGAATTCGAGGAGAACGATACGATCGTCCACGATTCGGTGAACAATTCGATCAACTTTCCCTACCTCGACGAGTTGTCCGTGACGAACTGTTCGTTGGTGTACTTGAACGTGTCGTGGCACGGCATCGAGCGCGTGAGAACACTGAACCTGTCGTGCAACAATCTGGCGCACCTTGACAGCGTGCTGGTAGGCCGTATGACGAATATGAGCGAGGTGACGCGTTTCGACTTGTCCGATAACTCGCTGACGGACGTGAGTGCCGGAGCTTTTAGGACGCTTGCGAAATTGGTGAGATTGAGTTTGAGTAGAAACGCGATATCCGACGTCCACGAGGATGCCTTTCGGGGATTGGATCGGTTGGAGTTCCTCGATTTGTCGGATAACAGGCTGGCTAAGCTGCCAGACAACGCGTTGACGCCGCTCTATTCGTTGCAAAAGTTGGACCTGAGTGGAAATCAACTGCAAGTTCTGGGCGCCAGGTGGTTCGAGAATCTCTACAGATTGAGGGAACTTGATGTTTCGAGAAACGGTTTAGCACGGGCGGCATCAGGAACTTTGCAACCGCTTCCGGGATTGTCGGTGCTAAAACTCTCCGAGAACCCTCTCGAAGAAAGAGATGTTTCGCTGCTGCTGGGTACCGGCAGACGTTTAGAAACAGTGGACGCATCGAGAACAGGCTTGGCGAGAGTGCCAGCCGCGCTAACGAGATCCGTGAGAGCGCTCAGACTGGCCGGAAATAAGTTAACCACCATTCGTGGCGGAGATTTGGATAGTTATCCACTGTTACGGATATTGGACATCTCGGAGAACCGACTGACAGACATCGAAGACGATGCCCTTGGGCGCTTGGAAGTTCTCGAGGAATTGGATATTTCTGGCAACGTTCTCGTCCAAGTACCTGGAAGTCTACCGAGTAGCCTGACGAGTTTGGACCTCCAGCGAAACGCGATAACGTCTTTGAATGTAAACGATTTTCAAGGGCTGTTCAACCTAAAATCCCTAACCTTGAACGATAACGACATCAACGAGATCGAAGTCGGAGCACTCGGTCAATTACCGTTGCTAGAAGAACTAGATCTGTCCGATAATCCCATTAAAACGCTACCAGCTAATACTCTAAGTGGACCAAGTAATCTCGCCAAGCTTCGTATGTCGGGATTAACTTCGCTACAGCGGAAGCAAGAGGAACAAAGTGACATGGCGTTTCCAGTACCTACTCCCGAAAGACTCGTATTTCTCGACGTATCGAAGAGTCCGATCCTGGCCAGGCAGCTTTTAGCAGATGACGCCGCTCTGTCCGCCTGCAAAAGCTTGATCGAATTGAATCTGTCCGAGACAAACATTACCAAACTCAGATTCGATCTACCGTACATGCTTCCACAATTGCGTATTTTGAACCTGAGTAGAAATAATTGGAATTGCACGGAGGACCTCTACTGGCTCGGCGAATGGCTGCTGCAGCACGAGCAACTGAATAAAAACACCGAACCGGGACAATGCGCTACTCCACGGGAATGGTCAGGTTCGTTTTTATACGAATTGCCTTCGCCGCCGAGTCCTCTACCTACGATCGTGCCAATTGCGGAAACAACCATTTTTGTTACGTCGTCGATTCTACTCGCGACGAAACGCGTATCTCATTTCGATAAGCCAAACCTGTCTTCCAACGTTACCGATATCAACGCATCCAAAGTAGCCGATAATCTCTCGAATGAGTCCAATAACATGGACGACGCAGGACATCCAGCTAACACGGAGCCCGGTCACGAAACGAACAATCTTCGCAACGTCTTTAACAATCCTCGAAATATTCGAAGGAAAACAGTGTCCACGCTGTCCGGCACGTCGGTAGCAGTCTCGAGTAACGAGACGCGTTTCTACGAGGCACCGACGTCGTTCAGGAACGTCACGTCATCGATCAGGAAACAGAAAGCACGAAAAATGACGAGACTCGATCCGAAATCGACAGAGTCTGAAAATTCAATTACCGATGTCGCTGGTATGTCGTACCGGAACCCGAGCGAGGGAAAATCGTCAATTATCGAGGTGAACGGTGATCCAAATCCGCAAACTTTTGATAACAGTGTAGACGGAAAAAGTCAGAAGAGCAGAAGACTGAACAAACTTACCGTATCGTCGGGCAAGATCACCTCCTCGATGCTATCGAAACTTGCGCTGCAGAAGGAGGACGGGAAGAAGAAGACGGTCGAGAAGTACTCGAAGAGACTGAACAATCTGACGAAAGAAAACTTGGTACTACGAAACACTCTCGATCCAAACACGATAGCGGAGGAATTGGATGGCCGCGCTACTAATTCTGACGCGAGGATCTCCGAGGCTTTGTCAGCTGGTGCTCATCCTGGAATGCTGGTCCTGGCTGGCGCTGTTCTCGGTGCCGTGGCTGCTCTGACCGTAGTGTTGTCGCGACGAGCCACGTTGCGCCGGAGGGATAGGTATCATCGTCACGAGAACATCGAAGTTCATACGCTCACCCCGACCGCTGAACTTTGGTGACCAGAGTCTGAATACGCTAGATTATTCGAGAGAGATAAGCGACTAGACGCCGAAGATTGCGGGAAACTTGTCAAAATTTCGTCGACATCGTCTAAACGATCGTGGGGGACGCGGCTGCTGAACGCGTACTTCGAGAGGACACCGAAGTAGTCTGGTATTTCTTGCCGAAACATGAAAACGCGTATCGAGGAATTCCGACGCAACGGAAGCGACCAGAAGCTTGACCGTGCACGGTTCATCGCGCGACAAACGGACACTCGATATCCGAAGCTTCGCGGAGCATAAATCCCGACCGGTAACTTCGAAATGCCAAGTATCGATTAGCGGCGAATCGCGTTGCATTAATCGTCGCGAAGAACGGGTTTCGACGCAGCCAACACCTTTCGGCGAGAAATCGTTCGGCAATAACATAGTACAAACTCGACTCGAGTGAACAGCGACGAACAATGAGAAGTTGCGATGTACACTGCTCGAACAGATTACCTTACTTTTCCGTGAGATACCCGAAGTAGTTCCCGTATAACCATCAGGCTCAGCTTTGTCCGTCGGGAAATACCGAGCACAGGAGAAAGTTCAGTCAAGGAAGCTGTTGGGAGAAACCCCGCGGAGTCTGCAGAACATCCCTTGATGCGAATCTCGACTGAACGGTGAACTTCGAGTTGGAGTTCGGTTACATTACAAAAAAAAAAAGAAAAGAAGAAAAAAAAAACATGGACGTCGAATTTGTTTGATCGAGGACTCGAGGAAACGATATTTACATAGAAGTACTCGAAACGGAACGCGTCGAATCGATCTTCGAGCATCCCTTCGTCCGGTTTTCCGTGCGCAGTTTCTTTCTCGCGTAGGACGAAGGACGGCAAGAGGAAAATACAAACTGCAGGTGGCAATAATTAAGAAGCAGTCGCTCGTACTGGCTCGATGTCGGGCGATCAAACCGTTAAATAGCGCATAGTGACAATAATGATTGTAAACGTGCCGCGTCTCCGCATCGGACTTTTCATCGCACGTTTCGGACGCTTTCGTGACTGGGTGTAGAAGTGCAGGTGCGACGAAAATACGGCGAGAAAGGGCGCCGGGAAGAAGGCTGGGAAAAAGGGGAAAGACGGAGGAACGAAATTGGAGAAACGAAGGGAACGTGATGGCGTGAAATTCGCGGTGGCGAATTGTACGTTTGAATGACAGTGCGAGACGGGAAACGAGAGCGATTGCTGGCCGAACTTTTATCGAACGCTGCGAAGATCGAGTGAGAGAAGAAAGCGTGAGTGTGCGAAAGAGTAAGTGAATGAGGGTGTGAGATAGCATGAGAGAAACGAGCAAAGAGAGCGAGAGAGCGAGAGAGCGAGAGAGAGAGAGAGAGAGAGAGAGAGCTAGCTAGCTAGCTAGCTAGCGAGAGAGGGAGAGAGTGTAAGAGAGAAATGATCGCGAGGTGAAAACCGTTTTTAAAGACGGTCGACACCGAGTGTACAGAAACATAGCTTCCGAACTTAATTCTAGCGACTTGGCGAGTCGCTAAGACTCCTCGACAAACGGAACAAAAACGGAGGATAAGAGCGGGAGAGAACAGATAAGAAATAACGAAGAGGCTAGACATTATCTTTCTTAAAATAACCAGTGTCAAAGTACCGCTATGATAATAAACCGACGTACAAAGATGCAATTTTATGGATTATTCCTTTCGATCGCCTTCCACTGTTCAATCATCCCATTTTGCCGAGTATCTAGCCGTTCATTCTAGGTTGCCACGCTCGTGAGAGGTCCACGAGCCCGCTCGCTTTGATGTAGAGAAATCTTATTAGAATATTAGAGACTTAATCACGCCTTAGCCTTATCATTTTGTAATCAAAGGCACGATTATTATAGTTTCGAAGAAAGATTATTCTGTCCGGAGAATAATTACATGGATACCCGCGGAAAATACGAAGCAAAGGTAAGTGAATCATAGTCTACTAACGAATTATATCGGCCTTTCATACGTTCGTCGGTGTGTCATATTTCGAATAAATATTTTGTTGTCAGAAATTTCACTACAATGCCTGACACGATGAAAAATTTCCATTTTGCTTTACGACAGCGCATGGACCGTATCACGGATTGCAGCAGATTGTTAATATTTTTTAATTTCAAATTGATTTGTAGAGAATTAATTGCATGCTTCGTTATTCGATGTCACTGTTCTTTATCGATCTTGAATTAATATGAATTTTCACTTCATGTAGATTAACGCTTTTCCATATCAGTCTTCTTTTTTATTTTTCATATTTTTTTCCTTTGCTGCAAATATGAATTTAAATTAGTTGGGTACACTTGCTCAAATACTGACAGATAATGGATATTCGTGTTATCATTGAAGTACAAACATTGAGAATAGACTGATTACGTTCGCAAATCTAATTTCGTTAAAAATACTTTTCACATGATTGTCGATTTCGCAAACAATTGAAATTCCTGTAGTTCTGAAATAGTCTTCGTAACAATACAACATTCATACTTGTTTATTAGAGGAGTATCGAGATATCGCAATCATTTATTTCATAATAGTACATCTTCATTTATTCACTTCACTTTCAGCGATACAAGACGTATTTATACTTCTTTATCAGTGGACATAACAGTGAAACGATAAAAACATGAAATAGTACTCGGATATCGGTAAGTTAGGATCCAGAAGAATGCAATTGATTCTCATCAAAAACATTGTGATTAGTTCAATTTTGAAAACAAGCCAGTGAAATACACTACTTATTACGCCTCGATAAAAACGAACCATACCCCCACAAAAAAAAAAACAAACTGTCGAAGTTTTGGCTATATTTATCCCAATAATAAAGTAATCACTTGTCAGAAGCTTGAATTGATCATTCAGAAAAAATTTCCGATTGCAAACAGATTCTCTGGCTGTGCCAATGCGTTAGTAAATCTAGGTGCGAAACAACATGACGAGAGGGGAAAAGATATCAGAACTGTCGGAAAAAAAGCCCGACAGCTGTCGAGAAAACTCGAGCCTTTCCAGATAAGACGGTGTCTGCTCCGATTCGAGATACAACGATTTCACGCTCCCAGTCATTTATTGAACAAACAGATTTCCCACATCCGCTGAGCATGTTCTGTGCAGTTTTATTTTCTTGGCGTATAATCAAATCGAAGCACGAATTCGAAATTGAAAATATTGTAGAACATAATACTGACATCTCCTTTGAAAGCTAATACTACGCGCTGTAAGAAAATATAGTACCTATTCAAATTTTCACTGTTACTTATTCCGTAGTCTTAAACAAATTATAATTTCTTTGAACGAGTGTTTCGAAGAAAACTTGATATTGATTTAACTTAAACTTCATTTCCGAATATTAAGCGTTAAAATTAGAATACCATTATTCTAAAGTAATTTAGCGAAGTCGCAATGTTTATAAGCCTATAACAAAGTGTTGATAATAAAATTGACTCGACCATGGTGAATATACAACGAATTAAATTTACAGAGAGTGCACAATTTTCATGAATATATAACTGATGTTCGAAACATAATTTGTTCATTAAAGCCGACTAGTATCTTTCATACGAACGAAAATTCATTTCCTACAATTCACTGAAAATTGAACGTGACATAAATCACGTACGAATTATTTATAACATCGAAACGTTCACGTACACCCGTGACAATAAATTCCTTGTTCATTATCGGATGAATGCATATTGCAATATGCAATTTGAACTTGGGTGAACAATAACTTGACGCGAATGCATTACTAGAGATTGTTATCGTCAAAGTAAATTAGCAGATCTCTATAACATTTTCTGAACGTTCAAATATTTTACACGGCAAACTCAATTGTTTACTTGACTTGTATTACTGCAGAAATCAATTTCCTAAAATGCATTATCATTTTGATATGGAGAAGAGTGCTTTTCAATCGAAAGCTTCACTTTTAATTAAAAGTGTAACGTGCACTCCAGAAAAACTAGCGAAGCAGCTTTGCGTGAATCAAAAAACTATTTTTAGTTATTTGCGTGAAATGGGAAAAATTCGGACCGAGTACAGGTGAATCTGGCGCGAATCCGCCACAGATAACAAAAATAGATGATTAAACACGTGCCTGCATTCAATAAGTAAATATTGAAAGAAGAATTATCTGCAATAAAATCATCAGAGATGAGAAATGGATTCTTCATGAAAATTTTAAACGTATTTACGCATAACATGACCAAAATATTTTTCGTGCTGTAATAAGCAAGATGTAAATATTTTAAAAATAAAGACTGTATTTTATTGGAAAAAGCACAGAACTCTTTCCAACGGTGAATAATTGTGTTCAATGCAACGACACCGCGAGTAATTGAATTTACAAATTGTGTACCCTACTTTGCATTATAACGCAATTTTCACTTACTGAATTATCGAACCCTCGTGGAATCACTATATATGGGTAAATGCATTACACTCATTATCTTAAATGGCGCGTAAAAATAATACGAAACGTATCATTATTCGAGTGAAAATAATAGTATGGTTATCTGATACGATGCCAATAATTAAAACAGTTTTTCACGCGTTTCATAAAATACGTGAATTACGCAAATGAGTACAGGCTATAGGAACTGATAAATTATGGAAATAATACGTGTCAAGAAAGAATAAAAGATAATGATGTCAACGTCAGACATGCAATAACTAAAAATTTGCTTCTCCCTTATCAATTAGTCATATTTCATTCCCACACGACTATGTTCTACACACTGTTATAGAGAACATGTGTAGAAGTATAACGGCACAGCTATTTGTATCGCCACTAATAGAAATGACTATCTCTCTGTACCATCTGGCTGCACTTCCAACATAACCGGCTACCCATGTTTTCTACCTCTCATTTTTCACTTTTATCATCTGTACGAACATTTTCATTTCTCACAGTTATTTTCTAGATGAAAATGAAAGTTTTACGGTTGATAAAAATCCATCACACAGTATTTGATTCAGGTTGATTACAATTCCATATAAACTATACCTATACGTATTCCAAGGGCCCTTTTGTTTACCTGAAATTAGGAGAGAAATGGTTCATGGAACGAAATATTTGTTAATGTAACGTAAAAAATTGAATCAAGTGCAACTCGATATTGTTATTTCTCTGATTTGAAAAATTGCGCACCGTAGGGTTAATACACTCAAATCCGCAATTACATAGCTGCCAATCCAATACATGGAATAACGATCAACGCCGATCGTCGCAATAGGACTGAATACGCGGAAGAACGTTAGACACATTCAATTTACCGTCCCAACATTCCTACGCTGCCCACGGGTCCATAAATTTCGATTTGCAAGAAATTACAAGGGGAAAGCACGGCAAAGCGAGACGAAGGAAAAGTTTAATTTTCCTTGTCTTAATCTCAGTAATTTCATCCCGTTGCCTCAGAAGTTTCGTCCCGCAACGAATGTTAATCGGGTTATTCGCGGCTCCGTCTACAAAAGCGATAAGCAGAAAACATGCTTAGGACCGCCGCCCTCCGCCCCCATTTCGCCCGCCAAAGAATCAGATAACGTCACCGACGAATATTAAAGGCCGTCGGAAGGACGAGCGCGGAGGGGCTGGGGCCCGGCTGAGTTATAAAATCACGAGACTTTGAAGCAACGTAAATATTACTACATGAATAATTCGCGGCGAGCGTTTCCCGGTCTCGTAGCCCGCGGCTGAATTTCCTGGAACATGGTAACGAGACCGCAACGGGGAAAAACGATATTTAGGAGGGCAGGAAAAGCGAGCGGCACAGAACCGTAGCGATCCAACGGGAAACGGAGGGGACCAGCGAGAAACGGTTCCTTAAGCCCTTGTTTAAATTTCCTATGGAATAATCCTTCGACGGAGTGCAACTAGGAAATTTAATCACCGTATAGCAGCACTTAGTTCACCCCGGGCTATGGAACTAGCAAATTCAGTAACATCTTGCAGAAGTTCGTTATCCTTGCCCCTGGCCCTGGTTCGACTCCGGTTCACCCCAGACGTCGATGCCATTTTGTAATATTGACTTCGTCGATGAAAAACAGAAACCGGTTTCGAGTTTATCCGCATCCTCCGGATCGCCCCGTTCGCAATTGCTCTTATCACGGTCCAATATTGAGATAGCGGATTGAATTCAGTTGTCCCGCAGACATCCGATACACATGGTTAAGTGGAAACACTACCTTCACGGTTTAAAAGAAAAAGATTTTTCGTTTTACATGATATTTGAATTCAACGTTTTGACAATGAATTCTATGATTCTTGAGACTGAATTTGAAACAATAGGGAAGATATTTTTATTGTCTGATTAATGGATAAGGTATCTACTGAAGTTGAGCGATTGTTTCTTTTTGGATAGCCTTGCGATTATATATATATTTTTTTTAATTATTTTATTTAATTATTGTGTAGCAATGAGTCAGATTTGTGTGGTCAAGCATGCTTCATCTCAAAATTTTATGGATATTTTTATATTCAATAATGATTTTAATAGATAATAAAAATTCATCTATTTCCTACATACGACTATTTTATTGAAAGCAGTCTATCAGGAGTAGGAGAAACACACACTCAGTATATAGCTTTAGGAAATTCGCTTAAGGTTTTATTTTCGACATATTTTATATCAATTATCAAAATGTCCATATCAAGATTTC